GTCCCCGTCTTCTTTGACCTTCAATCTTTCCCAGTTTTTATACTATTCTATATACTATTTTATACTAATAGTTTTTATACTATTCCCATGTTATTACTGTTTTAATCCTTCCCATATCAGAACTGTACTGTTTTACTGGCTCTTGCTGCAATAAATTAGATCGATCAATCGATACCTAGTTAACAAACTGGGAGCCCCCCAGGGAGCGAGGGGAAGGCCAGCATTGCCAAGTGGGGACCTGGGACAGTTGTAGGGACTTTTCTGACCTGGAGGCCAGCCACAAGGCACAGGGAAGGCATGCGTGCCACGTTCCTTCATATATACCATGGAACTTATACAAGGCAATCCTGTCTTTTTTGTGCCAGAGGGACAAAAATGAGGGGGGAAATAGAAGTTATTACATACCTAGTGCAGGAAGATCCCTTACAATATTTGGTTGTTCTAGACGTGAGCAACAGACATTATCTTTGAACTGTTTTGTCTTTAATGCTTTCAGAAAAGGAGAAGAAAGCATTAAGGTTGATTCAGGCGTTTTATACTCTGTAATGGAAGATGTTGAAAAAACAGCGACTTGCAAGTCCGTCTTCTGCATGCACCCAAAAACCTAGAATGGAAAAACAGTATTCAAATAGATGGTGCGATTGTGGATCAGGTGCAACAGAGACCTTAGATCATCTTTTGTTATTTTGCCACCAGTGGATTGACGCCAGATCCCGTTGGATGACTCCTATTTTACATAGACATCACACCCCTTGTCTAACCCACCCTTTATAAAAATGGTACGACGTTACATTTCCTTTGCCATTCTGCACCGACACCAAGTCTCGTATTATGAGAAAAACATCACTGGTTTTTTAGAGAAAAAGATCAGAATCACGAGGTAGGTGGCTCAGTTAACCCACAGTACAGTATAGAAAGTCCTTTGCGACCCACAAACTTGAAACAGATGCAAGTTTGTTCGTGAAATTTGGCCAGCCTTAATAGATCGTTCTACCCATGGACCAGCTCCCGCCAGGCCTTCCTGTCTTCCGCCGTCCTCTGAAGTTTGCTCAATTTCATGTTCGTTGCATCTATGACACTGTCTAACCATCACATCCTTTGCTGTCCCCGTCTTCTTTGACCTTCAATCTTTTTTTTGTTTATTATAAATATTGTTTATGAATATGTTTATTAGTTTTTATTGTAAAAATGTTTGGTCTAAATTGTCTTGTAATTATATGTAATGTGGTTTATAGTAGATGTTTGTACGTTTGGCTTAAGACCTCTGGTCAATGAAGCTAATAAATGAAAGGAAAGGAAAAGGAAACCCTAGAATGGAAATTCCAAATCTCAGTATCAGGGAGACAGGAAGCAACTGTGATGGGGCCAATAGGCTATGTAACGAGAGCTTCCAGTAGGGTGAGATAAAGATATATGCAAGCAAAATAATCAATTGGATTGGGAAAACGAATCACAACAGTTTAAAAAAAAGAACCTGATATAATAGTATTGTGAATTAGTATGGTACAGTTCACAATACTACTGCAGGGGCCATTGCGTAGAAAAAGAGGTGCAGGAGCTCATTAGCATAATTCATTAGCATAAATTATTTGCATACGACACACCCCCTGACATCACCGGAAGTGTGTCAGCATGTGCCACACCCCCTGACATCACTGGAAGTGTGTCAGAAGGCAACACCCACCGCTCAGGCTCCACTGGACTGTTTGGGATTGCTAGCTATTGGGGGGTGGGGGGAATGGGCAGATCTGTCCTCGCGGAGGAGGGAGAGCTTGTACCTGAATAAAACTTGGTCTTAAAGGTGCCACTGGACTGTTTTGGGCCGGGGGGAGCTCTGCAACTTACCTCGCTGCTTCTTTTTTTAATTTTCATCACACATTATGCATTCAATGGCAGCTTATTGAATACATTACACACCTCACGTCACGTCCCTTTTTGAGTTTTCCAAGCTCAAGGGACGGACTGTGGTTCACGTGAAAAGTATCCGGGCAGGTCTCCCCCTGGGATTCAGTCCGCCTGGATCCAAAATTCTCACTCAGGACAGGTGCCGAGGATACTCCACACTCTGGTTAGCTGCTGCTGCTACTCAGAGCAAATGACCTTGAGTTCGATGGACCGGCAGAGCTTCTTGTGGGGCACGCCAGGAGAAGTGCTGAGAGTCAGGCCCCTCGGCCTTCGGTCGGAAAGAGGCAGCAGGTCAGGAGAGGAGAGGCGGAAGCAGAGGGCATCTTCAGTGCCCGTGGAGGTTGTCTTACAAGAGTTGCCCCCAGGTGAGCATGAAAAGGACACGGAATATCTCTTGGAAGCAAGTTCCTGTCCCTTCAAGGACCCGGCCCGTCCTGCTCCCCCAACATCCGCGATGCTCATCTTAGCGGGGAGGAAAGAATGCCCCGGCAGGAGACTCCTGGGCAACTCCATGAAGCCCTAAGGTCAGCTTCCCAGCCTCCACGCCGGACAGGAGAACCAAAGAGAGACCGCGGGATAAGTGAGTAGAAAACAGTCAGTGGTAACCATGATATATATTTTTTTCCAAAACAATTTATTAGGATATAATAAAAAGAAATGTTCAAACATATATCAAAACTTATACAATTATATATCCTTCCCTCCTCCCTTCCCCCCCCCCCTTCTCGGCTTCCCACAGTGCTCCAACCTCCAGCCCAATTCTTAAATTTTCTTCATGCCTCCCTATCTCCTTATTCACATCCACAGGTAACTTAACCTTCAACTGTTGTTCTTATACATTTATCTATTTTCTACTATCCTTTAATTTTCAATAATTCTCAAAGCAAAGTAAATTGTCCTTTACATCCCGGTATTTCTCCAAATATTTAAAGTCTTTCCAGTCTGCAAAAAATTCTTCTGCTTCCAAATTGTCACGTTTCCTTGTCATTTTATCCATTTCAACCATAAAAAGTAATTTTTTTAATCCATTCCCCAATTTCAGGGACATCTTGTTTCCAACATTGAGCATACGTCATTCTGGCAGTCGTGATCATATACCACATCAATGTCCTTTTTGCTATATTGACCTCTTCCATTTTAAGTCCCAAAAGTAGTATTTCCGGTTCTTTCTTGAACTTACATTTCACAATTTTTTCCATTTCTGCATGTATCTCAGCCCAAAACATTTTTGCCTTTTCACATGTCCAGGGCTTTTAAACTTTCCTGATAGCCCAAACTTGTCAGATCACGGAGCTAAGAAGGGTCGGCCCGGGTTAGTATTTGAATGGGGGACTACCAAGGAAGAGGCAGGCAATGGCAAGCCACCTCTGGTCATCTCTCTTGCCTTGGAAACCCTACGTGGGTTGTCACAAGGCGGCTGCGTCTTGACAGCACTTTCCACTGTCAACATACAGTGCAGTAGGTAAGAGAATGAGCTGTGAACCGAGGGATCCCAGTTCTAATCTAGCCTTCCGCAAGTTTACTAGGTGGCCTCGGGCAAGTTCCCCTCTCTCTACTTTGAGCCCCCCCTCATTTGCAATGAGGACAATAGTTCTGGCCTACCTTCCAGAGTCGTTGTAAGGATTCCAAGATAATACTTGCAAAGTGATCTGAGCAGGGCTCTTTTTGTAGAAAAAGCCCAGCAGGAACTGATTAGCATAATAGGCCACACCCAACAGCAGAAACTCATTCGCATATTAGGCCACACCCCTGACAGCACAGCTCATTAGCACATTAGGCCGCACCCCCATGTTACCAGAAGTGTGCTCATCCAGCCACACCTACCTTTCGCTTGTTATTCTGTTTACCTTGTTTGTTGTCAAAACCCAGGGACTTTTTTTGTAGCAGGGAATCCTTTGCATGTTAGGCCACACACCCCTAATGTAGCCAATCCTAATGAGTGTCTGCTGTTGGGTGTGGCCTATTATGCTAATGAGTTCCTGCTGGGCGTGGCCAACTTGGGAGCCAGCCGGAACTCTGTTCTTGTGCGTTCCTGCCCAAAAATAGCCCTGGATCTGAGGACTGAAAGTGCTACGTAAGTATACAGGCTATCAACCACAATGTTCTATAAGCAACACCAACAATGACGGACACTTCTAGACGAGTACTGAAGGAGGGGAAGGAAAAAGGAACTGGTGAATCCATCCAGAAATCAAGCATGTCTTTTTTTTTGGTGTGCCTATTCCTGGTAAACTGATTTCTCCCACCTACCTTTTCCAGCCACTGGAACTGTTGGTCCTCAGCCACAAAACAAGTACACTGGCACAGCAAAACCTGTTTAGGCAGAATAGAAATACTTCATGACCAGGTGCTACATGTCAAGGTGGTGTGAAGTGCTAAATCAAAGACTAGTCTCACTATAGAAGAAGAGAAGAGAGTGGATTTATACCCCCGCCTTCACGCGGAGTCTCAGAGCGGCTTACAAACTCTTTTCCCTTCCCCTCCCCACAACAGACACCCTGTGAGGTAAAAGAAGAAGAAGAAGAGACTGGATTTATACCCCGCCCTTCACTACCCAAAGGAGTCTCAGAGCAGCTTACAAACTCCTTTCCCTTCCCCTCCCCACAACAGACACCCTGTGAGGTAAAAGAAGAAGAAGAGATTGGATTTCTACCCCGCCCTTCACTACCCAAAGGTGTCTCAGAGCGGCTTACAAACTCTTTTCCCTTCCCCTCCCCACAACAGACACCCTGTGAGGTAAAAGAAGAAGAAGAAGAGACTGGATTTATACCCCGCCCTTCACTACCCAAAGGAGTCTCAGAGCAGCTTACAAACTCCTTTCCCTTCCCCTCACCACAACAGACACCCTGTGAGGTAATAGAAGAAGAAGAGATTGGATTTCTACCCCGCCCTTCACTACCCAAAGGTGTCTCAGAGCAGCTTACAAACTCCTTTCCCTTCCCCTCCCCACAACAGACACCCTGTGAGGTAAAAGAAGAAGAAGAGATTGGATTTCTACCCCGCCCTTCACTACCCAAAGGTGTCTCAGAGCGGCTTACAAACTCTTTTCCCTTCCCCTCCCCACAACAGACACCCTGTTAGGTAAAAGAAGAAGAAGAGATTGGATTTCTACCCCGCCCTTCACTACCCAAAGGTGTCTCAGAGCAGCTTACAAACTCCTTTCCCTTCCCCTCCCCACAACAGAAACCCTGTGAGGTAGAAGAAGAGGAGATTGGATTTCTACCCCGCCCTTCACTACCCAAAGGTGTCTCAGAGTGACTTACAAACTCCTTTCCCTTCCCCTCCCCACACCCTATGAGGTCGGTGGGGCTGAGAGAGCTCTTTCAAGAACTGCCCTTTCAAGGACGACTCTTGTCAGAACTATGGCTGGCCCAAGGTCATCCAGCAGCTGCAAAAGGAGGAGTGGGGAATCAAACCCGGTTTTCCCAGATTAGAGTCCGCGCACTTAACCACTACACCAAACTAGCTCTCTATACAGGCATTCACAAACAGCACCCATTTCTGTAAGTCTCCTTATCACTGGCAGCTGGTATGAATGGGAAGAGGCGGTAACTCCATGGCAGAGCACACGCTCTGTACCCCAGGATTATAAGGCAACTTCCTACGGAGAACTTGGGTGGTGGGGCTATATACACATACAACGGATATTACTTACTGTAGGATCTGAAACCAACTGATAGAACAAACAGAAAGAATCTGTTGGCAGGACATTGGTTGTGTTCGATGTTCTGCACCATTCATTCCACAACTTGACAGAGCCAACTACTTCCCAGTCTCCAGAATGCAAAACAAATGAGGACAAGAATGCTGTGAACAAAGGCAGATTTGCTTTATGTAGCAGTCGAACACTGTTGTTACATACAGGCAATGTTCCTCTAAGCTGTGGAATCTTGCGAGCAAAAATTCTACTTTGTGAGCTGCTGGCATTAAAAGTGTGAGCAAGCAATCTGACTACTGCATAAATTAGCTTGCTCTGGAGCCATCCTTCCTGAGCGAAGACAAAAATGGGTGAGCCGGAGGCTAAAAAACTGTGAGCTAGCTCACATGAACTCAGCTTAGAGGGAACACTGCATACAGGTGCTGTCAAGTTGCAAACAACTTATGACAACCCCAGCAAGGTGCTTTCAAGGCAAGTGAGAAGCAGAGGTGGTTTGTCATTGCCTTCCTCTGCAGAGACTTCCTTGGCAGCCTCCCGTCCAAGTACTAACCCTGCTTAGCTGCTGACATCAGGCTATACTATGCATCCTTCCCTCCCATGAACATATTAGGTAAAGGTAACGGTTTCCCTTGCCTGAAAGCCAGTCAAATCCGACTCTAGGGTTGCGGTGCTCATCTCCATTTCCAAGCCGAAGAGCCAGAGTTGTCCAAAGACGTTTCCGTGGTCATGTGGCCGGCACGACTAGAGCCGAGGCGCACGGAACGCTGTTACCTTCCCACTGAAGTGGTACCTATATATCTACTTGCAACTTCTTGCTTTCGAACTGCTAGGTTGGCAGGAGCTGGGGCCAGAGACGGGAGCCCACTCCGTCATGCGGCACCCTGGGTCTCGAACTGCCGAACTACCGACCTTCCGGTCTACAGTTCAGCCTCTTAACCACTTCAGCCACCACAGCCCCATGAACACGTTAGCATTATCCAAAAATTATTTCAGCTACCTGTGACACCCCAAACTTGGCAGAAGACTCTCACTGTGGTTAAACGTTTAAATAAAATACAAAGAACTCCTTGGTTTGTACTGCTTACCTGCTGCATTGTGTCCTACACCCAATATGAATTTTGAGCAAGGAAACTGAAGATCTGAAGAGCTTTCTGGAGATGCCCTGAATGCCGTGTTCCAGAGAATGTGGACTTCCCTGAGCACAAGAAAGAAAACAAGAGCCAACAATAACATTCTAAGCAAGAAAATGGACCCAGTAATCTAGGCAGGCTAAATACAAATATAGCTCATAGCAGCACCACTGATTAAGTTCTCCACCCATTTCCATAGAAAGCAACTTCCAGCAGACCACCAGGGAAACCGTAAAAAGGTAAAGGTAGAGGTCGAATCCGACTCTAGGGTTGCGGTGCTCATCTCCGTTTCAAAGCCGAAAAGCCAGCGCTGTCCGAAGATGTTTCCGTGGTCATGTGGCCGGCATGACTAAACCCCAAGGCGCACGGAACGCTGTTACCTTCCCACCAAAGTGGTACCTATTTATCTACTTGCAATTTCTTGCTTTCGAACTGCTAGGTTGGCAGGAGCAGGAACTAGAGACGGGAGCTCACTCCATCATGCGGCACACTCCGGTCTCGAACTGCTGAACTACCGACCTTCCACAGCCTGCAGTTCAGCAGTTCAGCGTCTTAACCACTTGAACCACCGCAGCTCCTTAACCTCCCGTATAACCCCCTTTTATTAGCACTCATGTGCTGCTTGGGATCACATCAGTGTTCCCTCTAAGCTGAGTTAGTGTGAGCTAGCTCACAGTTCCTTAGCCTCCAGCTCACGGGTTTTTGCCATAGCTCAAGAAGGATGGCTCCAGAGCAGTGTTCCCTCTAAGCTGAGTTAGTGTGAGCTAGCTCACAGTTTTTTAACCTCCGGCTCACACATTTTTGTCTTGGCTCAGGACAGATAGCTCCAGAACAAACTAATGTATGCATTCATGTCAGTAGCTCACAAAGTCAGATCTTTGCTCACACGACTCCACAGCTTGGAGGGAGCATGGCTCCAGAGCAATGTTGCCTCTAGGCTGAGTTAGTGTGAGCCCTCTAAGCTGAGTTAGTGTGAGTAATGTCAGTAGCTCACAAAGTCGGATCTTTGCTCACACGACTCCACAGCTTCGAGGGAGCACGGCTCCAGAGCAAACTAAATCTACGCAGCAGCCAAATCGCTCGCTCACAACTTTAATGCCACTAGACCACAAAGTAGGATCTTTGCTCACAAGACCCCACAGCTTAGAGGGGACACTGGATCACACCACCCTGACCCAGATCCCTGCCCGGTCTTCTTAGGTGCCGGTTGGTTTTCCATTGTGGTGGAAAGGCACTTTGCGCGCGCTCAGAGGCGCCACCGTCCATTGCAGCCTCCACGGTACTATTCAAACCCTGCTCTCGGGTGGTTGAGCCCCGGCTCCGATGAAGTTCAGACCCTTCGTCTGTCTGCTGCACCCCCACCCCCGCCTTGCCTTTTCTTCTCCAGCTCCAGGCGAATCTCTCGGTCTTCCGGCGCTTCCTCCCGCGCCGCCTCCTCCTCCTCCTCCTCGTCCACCCCAGCGCGGGATGGTGCCGCCACCACCTCCCCAAAGAAAGTGGCCATCCCCTTGCGCCGCCGGCTCAGTCCATGCGGAGACTGGCTCGTTTTCTTCCGGGTTAGCCAGCGTAGCTCTGCAAGGAGGGCTTGCAGTCCCGGCGAGCATGCTCAGATGCAGAGCTCCTCCTTAGCGCGGCCTCCTCCTGTGGCCCGCAGGTGATCCCTACGAAGTGCTGCGGACTGGCGCTTCTCCATCCTTCCGGACGTGGCGCTGAAACACGCTTGAAAGGCGCCTGCTGCATTGCAAGCAAGGCTCCCTCTAAGCTGCGGAGCCTCGTGAGCAACAATTCTACTTTGTGAGCCACTGGCATTAAAGTTGTGAGCAGGTGATTTGGCTACTGCATAAATTAGTTTGCTCAGGAGCCATCCTTCCTGAGCTAAGACAGAAAT